TGATTGCTGAGGTTAGCAGTATAGATATCATTTTCATCATTAGTAATGACCACAGCTTTAACTTACAAATATTCACTGCTGCCCTACCTATTGCCTATGCTAACAGTATTATCACCTGTCTATCGACTGTACTTCCTATAACTCTTGATAATGCATTCAGCAAACGTATTACTGCAGTTATTACTCATCGTCAAGTATTTCAATTACCTTCAGAATGCGAAACTTCGTTGTTCTCGCTGTAATCATATATTCCAGCGTTTTTGCTGATGACACTTCGAATAGCTTGTGGAGTAAGAAAAAAAATCTTTTAAGCACCATTGCATTGCAATCTGATTTCATTTTGAATGCAGATATGTAGGTACGATAAGAGAATTACAGGCAGATCGCATGAATTATGGTTGTGATTGTTGATATATAAGATCCTCACGTTGAACGAAATTCAACTCCAATGCACCAATCTGAACCAAATTAAGTAAGTTCTATGAAAAGTAAGCGATTGAAGTGTGTGTGTGTGTGTGCGTTGAATGATATTCGTTGTACAAGTAAGATTGTAATGATGATCGTGATCATCTTAATATGCCATCGACCTTCAGTATAAACTAACTTTTATAAAATGACCTTCACACCACTCACAATATACCTTGCGCTATGTACAACAGGTATATATACCAACCAAATACCAAATGTGCAATAACTTTGGCCTATTTACTATAATATTAATGCTGAACGTAATCACTTTGTCATACACATTATTCATCAGGTACACCAACTCTTCTTGCTTTTGTTCGCATTCTTTCAGCTGATTTCTTGCCTTAACTCTCCGGTTCTTGACNACGAATTTCTTTTGAACTGTAAATTAATCAGTGATAAAAAATGACTATGAAAATATGGTCAAATTGAATTATAAATTGAAAAATCAGCGAATCGGAACTGAATGGGTGACTGATATTATCGTCTTTTGAGTAAAGCTTTCGAACAGTAACTAAACAGTTATCGCTCGATGCACTGATGCGTTCAAGGTCATACTCACAATCAGATGACTGGCTCGCGATACTGCTGTCCCCTTCTTTCAGAGGCATTTTGTTCGAACGTTTCATAGAATTCCATCAGAAAAAGAGCACAACACGAATAAACTGAACAACGAGAGTTTTGTTGCGAATGCATAAGAGCAAACTGAAATCAACATCAATTTCAAACGTTTTGTCATTTTTGTTGTCGCAGTTTTACTCCAGTCAAATTCATGGATTTCATGCGAATGCGGTTTTCGATTCCCAACTTTGTTCCTTGTTTTTTCCCCGTCGTCCTTTTTGAATTCTTGAAAAATGGCGATTAGTGAGAAGAGTTGACCTAATTGTTCGTTAACATTCGAAAATAATCATTTATTTATGCGTTGCGATATAATTCTATCTGTTCGATTTGAATGGCGATATTCGCTAAAAAAAACCTACTCTTGCACTTTAGATGGATGTGTACATTTTATTTATTGTCTTACATACCCAAAGTATTCAATCATTGATGTGTGTTGTTTGCATTAGAATTCGTTATTCGTGGTCATTTATTGACAGCAGAAGTTCTTATGACAGATTTGTAACCCTAAAACGATGCTCGTTACTGTTCAGAAAATTTTTTTCGTTCCGTTTCGTTC